GATGAGCAGGAAAAAGAGATTTAGATGTTTAAAGCAAGATGGTATTGTTTTCGACATCACCTAAGATCGATGTCAGGTGTAAGAGACCTTGTGTATTGATTTGTGGATTCTTGATATGCTTTACAGCATTAGTATAACCGGTAGCATGGATGTGCAGACTTGTTACCTGGTGTGGAAGGTCGTGGGAGCGTGTCTCACGGAAAGATTGTGTAAGAGTGACATGTAGTCACTTGATTGAGTGAAGACTGAAACCAAGTATGAAGATTGTGGTAATATCGTTGATTCAAGAATTTATGACTGGAGGGCGCTCGGTTCATTTGGTTGTGGACTGTGGAAGTTTGTTCCGGTTATGATGACTGTTCTTGTGTGTTATGGGAAAAATGGTTATTATGGATCCTTAAAAGGTTATTAGCCTAGTACGATGCGATCGAAATTGGCTTGAGGTCTGTGGATGGATTTGAATATGAATATGGGCTCTATATCATGCCGGATGTGTTCACTTCAGCATAAGCGCTCCCTATGGAAGAGTATTCGGACGTTGGATGTCGTTTCGTCGTCGGTTATTTCATGTAATACTATATTGTGCCGTGTGAGTTGCGAAAAGACTTGATAAATTTCTTATGTGTTGAGGTTTCGCGTAGCGATGGTGCCATGTGAGCCGGATGGCTCTCGAGATTAAGATCATATATCGTACCTTAGTCGTGCTTGAATTTTGTAGCGTATGGCGCTGTCGGTCCTTCCAGGGATGATATTATGCACTGAGCGTGCTTGTGTCCGATATTCAGATATTTTGTAGTAATGAGCATTCTAGCTCGGTAAGTATTTTCTTATAGATTCTTTATGTGCGGATCGGGTGGCACGCCGCCCAGGTATGTTGTTTGGATCGGGTTGCACGCCGCAACGGTATCATGTGTGGATCGGGTTGCACGCCGCAACAGTGTGATATTGAGTACAGTCCCCTATATTCTATTTTGTGTGTTTTGTGTCCCATTTTATGAGAAAGGTTCATGACACCTTTTCGGTTGTCTAATTAGTTACGTGGGTTGAGTAATCCTTTCGAGAGTTCATTTTTCCTTAGGTATCACGTTCGGGTTTGTAGCTTATTGACACATTGTGGCATCATATGAGACTTTTGGCAGCGTCTGCGGTGGCTTATTGTCCGAACAGCTTATACTGGGTGAGACGAGACTATTGGATCGGAAATAAGTACAATCAGATTTATATAAGGTATAACAAGGAACAAATATCGCTATTCAGTTCAAAAGGAGGTAATGGTCCTTATCAGGAGGGGCGACCCCATGATTTGATTGATTCAGTAGGTGTTTATGAATTTCTACACATCTCTTCCGTCATGGCGGTATTGCAAGAGTTGGAACAAGACTTATATATGTCATGAGGTGCATTATGAGCATCAGATTCGTGGAATTTCAGCTATTGTTATCAGAGGATGTTATTATGGTCATGTGAGTTATACAGTGCATAGTCTGAATTCAGCAAAGGTATGCAATCATGTATAGGTGCATCGTGTAGTTATTGATATGGTGTTGGTATGATGGGAACATGCCTAGCAGAGAATTCCGGATGTTGGAATTGGACTATAAGGCTTATTTGGCTAAGTAAAAAGGGAGAATCTTCAGACTGGCTCGAGCTAGTGTGCTCAACTGAGTTTGTGGCAGCACGGGTAAGTGCACGAGGTATTAAACAGTAATTTCGGACAACCCCAGAGCAGTCCTTAGCACTTTCGAGGACGAACGCATGTTTAAGTGAGAGAGAATATAACGACCCGACCGGTCATTTTGAGCCCTAGTGCGTTGTTCAGCAGTTTGAGGCCACGAGTAGCTTCACTTCAGGTATTATGACTTGCACGCGTGGTCGGAATTGAAATTTCGGAAGTTTATAGTTGATTTGGAAAGAAAATTCTCATTTCAGAAGCTTTAAGTTAGAAGAATTGACTAAAGTTGGATTTTTGAGTAAACGATATCGGAATCGGGATTTGAAGGTTCTAACAGGTTCGTATGATGATTTTGGACTTGGGCGTATGTCCGTATCGGGTTTTGGATAACCCGTGAGTGTTTCGGCACCTATTGTGGAAGTTAGCATTTTGGAAGAATTCCATAAATTTGGGTTGAAGTGCATTTCAAGGTTATCGATGTCGATATTGTTTGATGTGATTTGAGGCCTCGAGCAAGTTTGTGTTATGTTATGGGACTAGTTGGTATGATTGGACGGGGTCCCGGGGGTCTCGGGCGTGTTTCGGGGTGGTTTCGGATCATTTCGGGCTGTTTTGCAATAGCTGATGCTGGTGTCTGGTGTTGTTCTTCACGTTCGTGAAGATCCTCTCGCGTTCGCGAAGAAGGATTTGGCTTCTAGGATTTTGTTCTTCGCGTTCGCAAAGAGATTCTCGCTTTCACGAAGAAGAAAATCTATGTTCCGCAGGTCTCACTTCGGAGGCTCATATCTCATAATTTATAAGGAATTTGGAGATGATCCAAAAATAAAAATTGTAGCTCTTTGTGTCTAGTTTTCAGAAAGGTAAACCATTTAGCATTTGGATTTGTGTACAAAAAGTTATGGCTGGTATACTACAGGCTGTTCGGGAAGATGAAGAAATTTGTATTTCATAGGGCTGACTTTGATAGCTGATATCTCAAAATCTATAAGGATTTGGGAGATGATCAACATATGAAAGTTATAGTCCTTGATATCTAGTTTCCATAAAGTCAAACCTTTTGTGACTTAGAGTTCTGTACAAAAAGTTATAACCATTATACTAGAGGCTATCTAAGAAGCATTTGAAAATGGCTTCTGAGAATTTTGTTCATCGCGAACGCGATGGGGGTCTCGCGAACGCGATGAAGGGTCGCCTGGGCAGTGTATAAGTTTGAAAAAAAATGGGTTTGACTCATTTCATCTCATTTCCTCCATGGGAGCCGACCTAGGAGCGATATTGGAGCTTCATTTTTATCATTTATGTCAAGGTAAGTGATTCCTACCTATTGCAAGTTAAATACTTGGTTTATATACGAATTTAGGCGTGAAAATTCATGAAAATTAGTAAAAATTTGGGGTTTTGAAGAAAAACCTAGAAATTGATATTTTTGAATTTTAACCACGAAAATTACTATAGGATTGGATGGAAATGGTATATTTGAGTTCTTGAGATTATGGGTAACGATTCCCTCCGAAAATTTCTGAAATTCGGGCATGTGGGCCCGGGGTGATTTTTAAGAATTTTATCATTTTGGATAGGGTAATTTATTTAATAGATAAATTTTGAATTATTTAACACGTATTAATTATTTCATATAACTGTTGGATAGTTTCGGATTTTCGGCACCGAATTGGTATTTTTACACGACACCGTGATCGGAAGTGGGCATTGAAACAAGGTAAGTCTCTTGTCTAATCTTGTGAGGGAAAAATTATCCCATAGGTAATTAAATTAATAATTATTGCTAATTGTGGGGGCTACGTACGCACGAGGTGACGAGAGTCCGTGCGTAGCAACTATTAATGCTAAAGTCCGGATAGTTTAGGACTCAAAGCATGAATTACTTGTGTAAATTGTATCCGTTATTTAATTACATTATTTGATATATATCGTAAATTGTTAGTGAGAGATAGTAAAAGATGAAAATCTCATATGCTTATTTCTGTTTAAATTAATTAATTGTTAAAAGAAATTGTTCATCTTCTCGAATTTATCTTATAATAAACATATTCTCATTCCGGAGGTACATAAGAAAATGTCTTCCTTTCTTGTGGAGCGGGCCGAACGCCTCGGCAGGATAGATGCATCTATGGATCGTGTCGCACGTCCCTCGGCAGTGTACACGACACTCTGGATCGGGCCGAACGACCTCGACAGAAATCATGCTTAATAATAATAATTACACCATACTTTGATAGTTTATTTCAGCTTGTGAAGCTAATTGAAATTTGGAAATTATTGAAATTTAAAGAATTTAATTATCTCTGCTTGTTAAGGAATTATTGTTATTCCTATAAATGAGGCTAATTGATAAACTGAAAATTTATTGGAATTGAAGGAATTTAATTACTTATGCTGGTTCAATAAAATTATTGTTAATTCTGTGAATCACGTTGATATAAATATTTTTATTTTCATGATTATTTAATATTATTGACCCATAGTGAGTGTCAAAGTCGGCCATCTCGTCTCTACCTCTTCGAGATTAGGCTTGATACTTACTGGGTACACGTTGTTTTCGTACTCATGCTGCACTTACTGCACATTTTATTGTGCAGGTACATATTTGTCTAGCGGCCTTATGGGCGTAGAGGTGTGGTTAATAATTGTGGGGACATATGTGAGCTACATTCTGTATAACGATCCGCAGCCAACAGAGTCTCCTTCAGAAATATTATATTTTCCTGTCTAATTTGTATTCTGGCAAATGCTGTATTTTATTTTTAATTCCCTAGTAAATGCTCATGCACTTGTGACACCGGATTTTGAGATGATTATGGGTTGCACTGTATTGGAAATTTTTAAAGATATTATTACGCATTTTGTAAACTTTATCTTCTACTATTTAATTGAGGGGAATAACTATGACTTCAAAAATATTAAAATGAGAATTTATTTAGTATTTATTGTTGGCTTGTCTGACAGCGGTGTCCGGCGCCATCACGACCTTTATGGATTTTGGGTCGTGACACACACAAAAGTCATGGCTCCACAAAACTTACCCCTTAAACTTTTAATATCATAAGTTTCAAATTTTTTTTTTATTTCTTAAACTCTGCATCGAGTCAAATTAACTCATCTAAAACGTGGACAGTAATACATTTTCTTGTCCATTTGGGGGCATCAGATAAAAAATTACGTACCCCTAACACATTTTCTTTACACTGGAAGACTTTGGTAAACTTTCAACAACGGCACCTACAGTGTGTTTTTTTCCTCAAAAATAAAGAAAATTGAATCATTCGTGAACTAACTACCTGATGCCACGTGATAATTTCTCCTCTTTCGCTGTCTTTCTTGGTTATTAGCTAGTACTAGTATTACAATGTCTATGTTGCAGCCCCCCAATTCCCTCCTTATGCCTTAAATACACGTACTATATATATAGTTAAGATTCATCTAACTCTCTCCCCAACATTCTCCTACCAGCTACCATAATTCACTCACCTCTTGTCTGAGTTTACGAGGGAACTTCCCTTTTCTTGATTGATCTCCATTTATATACACAACAAAAAACTTCGGTACACAACAAAAATACTAGGTGCATTTTGATCCAATTATGCTTTGTTTTTCTTTCCTTATATTTATTTTTTGGTGTTTCGGATCTGGGTGTTTTGCTAATTGCTACTATTAAATTTTTGATTCGGGTTTGTGTAATATATATATATATATATATATATATATGCTTTGTTTTTTGTCTGAAACACGCTTCAATTGTTGAATCTTGCTGTTTCTTTTCGCTTCTTTTTCGATGTTCCCGAGGTTGTCTATATATATGCTCTAATTTGTTGTGTACTGACGCTTTTAAATAATTGGATATGCTTTTAACGGCCATTTGTTATAACTCTGACAGGTGTACTCTTTTTATTTCGTTTATGTTTTAAAGATCTGACCTTTTTATACTGGGACTGTGATTTGGATTCATATATCCTCCCACAACTTATTTTAGAGGTATAGTTGATTCAGTATTCTTTATTGAACCAGTTTCATTTGCTGAAATTCTGCACCTATTGGTGTAGTTCTCTGTTTGATTTAGCTTCACGTTGATTTGTTCTCTTTTGGAAGGCAAGATTTACAGAAACTTGTTAAGACTAAAGAGTCAGCATCGTTATTTGTATTTTTGCTCCTTGTGATCTTTTTTGTTTACAAATGTTGATTTCGGGTGGGTAAGGGATGGGGGTTGTTGGAGTAATATATTTCATATACCATTTTACCTGTCACTACTTGGATACACATTGCCACTCGAATGACTGTATGATGAAATGCTTCACTGTCAGCCCAATAGTTATCTATTAATGTATTGTTTTGGCCTTCTGTCTCAAAATTAAAGGGCTGTGTGTCATATGCAAGAAATTATCTGTTCATGGATGGTTGATGTTTTTGCTGATGTTGTAACTTAGCAGAGATCTCAATTGACTCGGCAAAATGGCTACTGGACAACTTTTTTCCAAGACTACACAAGCTTTGTTCTACAACTACAAGCAGCTTCCTATCCAGCGAATGCTTGACTTTGATTTCCTTTGTGGTTCGTACTATCTATTTCTCAATTGATTTGCCGGCAAATGTGCACCCAATATTGTTGTGATTTTTCAACGTGTTGATTAATGTTAAATTCTTACTTTTAAATTTTCAGGGAGGGAAACGCCATCTGTTGCTGGAATTATTAATCCTGGTTCTGAGGGATTCCAGAAACTCTTCTTTGGTCAGGAGGAAATTGCAATCCCAGTACATTCAACGTGCGTCCTTCTCTTTGTTTTCTCAACCATTGGTTATATTCCCATTCTATTTTGCACTTTTTCATTTGGATCTCTAAAAGTTCTCCTTTGGCAGTCTGTCACAATGTCGTCTATGTTCTTGTTTCTCCCTTCCAGTATGCTATTTAGATTTGGCGTGGCTTAAATACATTTAGCTCGCTGCTTCCAATTTTAGCAACTGAGTTTCCCTGATATCTGATGATAGCATGTGCTAACTATTTAACTTTTCGGTTCATAATTGAGTCACTTAAAATGATGCGAAAAAGACACCAACTATATCATATTTCCGGCAGATATATTTTTGAACTATGTTGTCTTTACATACCTTTGTACTGCTGGTTTCTATTTGGTGAGTATGGTGTCTTGTCGCATTCACTGATTTGTATTCTAAAATTTTACTCATTCTTCAGCATTGAAGCTGCCTGTGCTGCACATCCCACGGCTGATGTTTTCATAAACTTTGCGTCTTTCAGAAGGTTGGTATAACCACTGTTCTTGTTTTGTTGTCTGTATTAAATTGTGTTTTTCTCGAAGAAAAAACTGATGCTGCAAAAGATGTGCTCTTGTTTCTCTGATCTTTACCGTCCAAATTGATTTGCAGTGCTGCTGCTTCCTCCATGTCTGCTCTTAAACAGCCGACTATCAAAGTTGCGGCTATTATAGCTGAAGGTGTTCCTGAGTCAGACGCTAAGCAGCTGATTGCTTATGCAAAGGCAAACAATAAGGTAATACTATGTCATATCAATCAGTTTTCTGCATTTGGGTACATTATTATTTTGTCAGTGGTGGGAGTTATATTTTGAGTGATGATGTATAATCAAGTATAGGATAATAAAGTTGAGTATTTATACATTACTTGTTTCACATTCCATTGTTGCATGTCCTGGAGTCAATGAACTCCCCCTGTCCGCAATTTTCATCTTTTGTGAAGAACTTTTTTGTCTAAAAAGGTATAATGAGCTTCAACGGATCATCACTTGGAGCATTTAGACATTACCTATCTCACTTGTCAACATTGTTTCTTCGGGGGGGGGGGGGGG